TAGTTTCAGGTGAAAGAAATTCACAGCCTTTTGTCATTGCCATTATCACTTTGTCCCTCGTGTTAATCGTGGTAACTGGCTTCCTGAAGTGGCAACAGAGGCAAAACGTACGCGTTGAGGGGAGAAATGTTGAAGCATGTCTGCAAAGCCCTCGACGTGCTGATACTGCGATTCCTCCTCCAGAGTACGCACAACTGACTGGACAACAACAACACACATACGAGAAAGTAAGAAATGTGAGCGCCTTTTTCGTTTAACTTTACAATGAATTTACCAGTTTTGATGATAACAGAGGTGAAAATACGACACTTTGATGGCATCTCACTTTCGCGTTCTGTTAACCAGTTTCAATTAAATTTCTGCGTCCGTTAACTCTTGTTCACCTTCTTCCTTTTGCAGGTGTTTTCAGGAAAGAACACCAATCTAACATTCCAAAATGCTTAGTTGAGATCACTGAAGACATCTGATAGTTGCGCGTATATAACACTAGCTTCTTGCTAACCGAGGGTGACGGCCGGGAATATTGACTCGAGATCGTTTTGATACGGACCGATCGCAGCGAGGTCCGTACATAAACGATCCAGGGCCAATATTCCCCAGTACGGCCTGAGGAAGTGAGGTTTTTTTAATAGTTAATTACATGGCACTCGGGCTAAACTTGTTTATTTCTAATTTGCCGACTAAAACTACACCACCGTTTCCGTGGAATCGGTCCGTATAGCAAATCCTTAACCAAGTATCAGAACCTTTACCTTAGCAACCCTTGAGAAATAACAAACACCCTTATATTTCTTATAAGTAAAGAGAAATTTTTTTGGTTATTTTTGTGTATCAGAGTAGACCAATAAGGAAGGTATAAATACATTATTAGATAATAAAATGGAGAAAGTCTTTGCTGAAACAGAGAACCAAGGGAAACTTAAATTACCTCCAGCGCTGGAAAACACGAGCGACGAATTTGCGATCGGTTTTGGATTTGCATCTGATTGATTGATCAGGTAGTGAGAGATTTTTTAGGCCAATGGTCGAGGATTTTGAAGGAAAACCGGAGTGGCCTTTGCAAAAACTGCTTTGTTTGCATGGTTACAAGTTTGTACAGTAATAGCACTGCAGCTGAGTCATTGAGATAATGTCCTGGGTGAAAAAAAAAAGAAAGGATTTGGATTAGGGAAATAAGCTTGTAGTCTTCAATTAAATTTAAGCTGCGAATAACGCAATTTTTGTTTGCAGTAATATTAAAGCCTCTAAGGAATATCTTAGATTTGGAAATAAAACGGCCATTTTTTTTATATTCATTGTATGCACGATCAACATATTTATACTTAAGTGTAATTTAAATACATGTAGAAAAAAACATAAAGAAATTGCTGACAAGAAGCCTGATCCCAGGCTTCGACAAGATTCAAACCCGCGCCTCCCAGAAGCTACTTCCACGCAATTTGACAACAAAGCTACCAAGGTACATGTTAGGAGCGAGACAGATTTCACGTACTACGTTCTTTGTGACAGGAAATGAGTCTGGTTTAATGAGATATAAACAATCCGATCTTGTAAGTGTTGATCCGCTTTAGTGACAGGAAATCCGATAATCTTAACTTTATCTTAACTCAGAGTAAGTCACTGGGCCTCCGAAATGGGAGCATAAAAACTTATATTAGAACAGAATGAAAACAAGTGAGTGCATGAAGTTCAGAGATTCAGAAAGCCATATCTTGGGGATATCATAAAGTTCATAAAGGTAACGTAATGGTTAAGAAAATCGACAGAGGTCTTTGTTAAGGATTTTTTTTCCGTTTTTCGGACGCACAATGCGCTAATACATTTTAATCTTGTTGGGCTGACTAGCAGATGAAAACATTCTATCAATAAATTCAGTCCAATATGTGCATACTTAAAACTGTACGACTGATTGCTTTAGGCCCTTTTTGGGCGGTGGATGGTCATCCACTGATCGAATCGACCGATTCATTCAAGGATACCATGCGCGCGCATGAAGAGTTGGGAGGATTTATCAATATGTTGAGGCGCTCTCGAAAAAACAGTTCTTACACTCGCGTTTATTGAGAAAAACTATCCATCGTCATATCCAAAGCGCACTCAAGGAGTAGTTCTTGAATAAAGTAAGTTTTAGGTAAAACTTGTCAATGACTGAGAATTCCTACTGTTGAGTGGCAATGCCCTCCATGATCGACTTAGTAATAGACTTAAGCACCTACCACTAGCAGTCTGCCCAAAAGATCTCAGCGTGAGTCCAGATTAAATAATGTAAAGAAGTTTTGTGGTCCGTTCCTTGTCCGCATCACAGAGTTCTATATTATTAGAGTCCTTCATACATGGATGAAATAAGTCAGAAATTTTTCCGGGGCATAGGGAACTCCTCGAAAAAGATTGGTGTCCGTAAAGAGAGATCTCCCTTGCGAAGTTTCCTCTGGAAGTCACGCAACGTTCTCTAAAGAGCGTTGCGTGATTTCGTATTGTCAGTGACTTCCTCGCCCCAATTTCCCCAGCACCCCTCGGACGATTGAGCAGGTCACCATCTTGCACACTGTGGTGAAATTTTCTTATCTTGGCTAAATGGAAGGCTCTCTGTACCTAGCGTTTTCTGCACTTTTGGTGTCGGTCATTGTCTGGCTTCTTAATCCTTTTCATAAACTTCACAAGTTCTTGAATTATTCCTTAAGAAGAGACGGTGGCATGCGAACTGATCTTCAGGATGGGGTTCGCTCGTTCAACAATATGCCTGGCCCAAAGGGATGGCCTATCTTAGGCGATATGCTGAACTTTCTACGAAAATCTGAGTTCAAAGAAATTATAGCGGAGCTGAAGGACTCTTTTGATAAGTACGGTCCTGTTTTTAAGAGGAATTTTATGGGAACATCAGTGGTTTATGTCAAAGACCCAAAGGATATCGAAGTCGTCATCAAAGCAGATGGAAAACATCCCATGCGACCTCCCTCAGCTGTAAGCACGGCGATTAATAAGTACAGGAAAAGCAGAAAACTCCCTAAAGTCCTTTTTGGATTGTAAGTATTGAGAAATTTGTGAATCAACCAATGAAAAATATAGGTGGCAGAATTGGGGGGGTTGTGGGGGCAGCCTCCTTCCCCGCCCCCCAGGAAAAATTTGGGGACTCTGTACACCAACGTATAAGTGTCGATGATATTACTAACGCAGCATAAAATAAGCTTCCTTATATATTCAGTCTCGTAGTCTTTTCAAATTGTTTCATCAGGATCATATAAGGCAAAATTAAATGTGGGATGAGTTATTTCATCTGAACGACTCCAGCTTGCTGGATTTTTCCACTAGACTTAAGTGAGGTGGATTAAATTTTGTATTGATGTGATAACATGTTAGGAATGGAAACAGACAGTCTTTATGAGAACTCAACCGTTTTTTTTTTTTTTTTTCATCAAATAGAGTAAGCTCTTTTTTTTTATTTTCTACAAATTTCATAGCGGTGAGATGTATTTTGGCTCAAAAAAAAAAAAACAAAAAAAAAAGGTGAAAAGGAAGAGAATCAAAAGCAATCCAAGGAAACAAGAATTTTGCTTATTTGGATGTTTCTGTAATAAGTTACATATGATTTGAATTCCAGCTGTGCTAGGAAAGTGCAACAGAGAAATAAGGTAACAAACATATGGTGGCTAAAACATTACATTACGCTGCAAGGAAAGGATATTTACTTTAACAACTCAGGGGACAGCATTTCAGAAAAATTTGAGTCAGGGTATGCACTTGGCATAGTTTATTAGATGAGCTAGAAATGTCCCCCTCTCTCCTCACTTCAAAGTCCTTTGTTGCCATTGAAACATTAAGGAGAGAATGAGATAATTCACTGCCTCAGCCAAACAAAACTTGACAGAAGATCAAGTTTGGCAGTGTGGTTGGAGTTTAGCCCTTTCATCACAAAGTTTCTTTCTAACAGAACCAAAATGAAAATCTCGAGCACAGAATACTGAAAAGGCAACAATTTGTTGGTAGGATTTGACGATAACACTGCAAAGAAGTTTGAGGAACTGTTAACTTTTTAAACTTTAACATAAATAGCCATATTTTCTGCACTGTTCTCTCTGCATTTTCTATATCAGTAATGACAATAAGGAGCTTCAGTTGGTGATCATTTTCCTTATTCTCATGATGTTTACAGTTTAATGAAGAGTGAGATTGTAAGGAGAAATTAGCGGCTAGTCATTCTTATAAGTTAGAGTCTTAAGCTTTTACACCACAATGTCAGTATGTATATTCCCCATACTATTCTATACACATTTGCTAAGTTGTTGACAAGGAGAATTTGCTCTATAATCAAGAGCCTCTTTAGTTGGTGATCATTTCTTTTATTCTTGTGACCTAATTGTGTGATTTAGGGATGACTTTGTGAGTAGAAATTAGCAAGGGTTTTAAAATGCTTTGAAGTAGGAGTCAAACTTGGCAAAAGTGGTTGACTGTGAAAAGTTTATTTAAGGCCAAAAGGTAATTATTTTGACTAGAGTAACCAGCAACATGATGTCAAGATGAACATGAACCCCAGCAGTCACCAGCTTGTTTTGAAATCCATGAATTAGATGCTAGTCACTCTTAGGGTCACAGGGTTAAGAAAGAGAGCTTTTAAAAGTCTTTGAGAGTGTAAGGTATTGTGTAATGGTAATTAGTAGGTTATAGATACTATAGAGTGTAACAATCTAAGAGACAAAGAGATCTTGATCATGTGGTAATTAAGAATGAGTTTTACACAAGATATCATGACAATTTCATGTATGATATACTTGAGCTCTTGGGAAAATAATAGTGGATTAAGGAACAATTTACCTCAAGTGTTGACCTAAGTGGTAGCATAAATGAAATTTGTAACTTATGCTTGAGGTGAATCAAAATGAAAAAGGACTACATCTTGATCAATTAGTAATGCAACCACATTTTTAATCACATTGGTTAATAATTGTTCACCAAAGTAGAGATAAATATCCACCACTTTCACTAGCACTGAGGTGAATAATTTTTTAATTATATACCACACAGATACCTCAAAATTAGTTTATTTCTCTCAATATACCAAAAACTGGTTGGAAATTGAAATCTTGATTATTCACCCCTGGCTGCTCCAGGGGTTAATAATACTTGCTATTCACTTCCAAACTAGCCAATTGGCACTCAGGAAACACTATAGTCTACTTGTGTGGTATATACTAATAATCAGTATCCACAGGGACAAACTAATATACATTTTTTTGTTTTTATCATGAAATGTGTTAATATTGTAATGTTTAACCCACCAGTATTTAACCAATAAGGTGAATATGTGTATAATAACATAGCATGTGAATATTGTAGTCTATATGCTGTGAGACATTATACCACTATCTGTATAAAGTACATACAGACTAGGTTAGTGGCTTAAAATCCCACAGTTGACAGACTATGATAATCACATATTAAGCTGTTATCTTATTACCAACCAATAAGTAGTTTCTCCATACAAGACCTGTTCATTATCAAACAGAGATAATGAGAAGAAATGGAAAGAACAATCTAGGGAATATCACTTGATTTTATACTAAATTCTCACAGCTAAAATCACAAGAGAGGCATGAGATTCAGTGAGGAAAACATAGATATTGAGAGTGATAGAGAAAACTCATTCGCAGAAAGCTCACATGTGGTCTTTACTGATGTTTGGTTCATTTTGTTGTAAAAAGTAACCATATTTTAAGGACTGTAAGAGAGAATTAAAAATCAGATCTTGGGAGTGAAAGGGTTAAAGGAAACAACCCTTCAAAGTCTTTAACTGTTTAACTCATTTTCAAACTATTCTTGAACGACCTTCCCGATTTTCTGATGCCCAAGCTTCTTATCGAAAATTTCTTGATTGGCGGACAGTTTTGGATGCCCTGGCTAGATCCAAATAATAATAGGATCAATATCAGTATCTGGGCAACTGCCCACCAACCCCTCCCCTAACTCAACAACTGTCAATTGACAACAAGTTAAGGTTAATGTTGGGTTAGGGGAGGGGTAGGTGGGCAGTTGCCCAGATACTGATATTGATCTAAATAATCCAATTTTATACTCTTCTTTATCAAATTTGACAATAATATTTGGTCTCGTGTTTCCCTACAGGGACGGTGAGGAATGGAACCGAGTACGAAAGGCTTTAGCGTCGAAAATGCTTCGACCGAAAGATATCCGAGACAACCTGGAAAACTTTAATGGAGTGACAAGAGATGCTATAGAACATATGCTTTCAGTGCGGGGTGCAGATGAAGTAATTCCAAATCTCGAGGAGGAACTTGGAAAGTGGGCGACGGAATGTACGTAAACTGTTTCACGAAAGTGTGAATAGATCCATTAAGGCTGTGATCCCAGTGAATGAGGTGTATCACTGATGCAAGTTGCTCTGTAGGTAGAGCCTCTCCCAGTAGGTATCTCCAAGGGACCCTAGGGAAATGGTATAAATACCAATGGAAGAAACCAAAACCCTTGGCGAGGGAGCAAATTACAGCACGTCTAAAACGTGTTTCTTCCTCCGCTGATCGGGCGACAGGAAAACAAAAGGCTGAGCATGTTACATGCGCAATCTGTAGGTCCCGCCAGGGGTTTGGATTCTACGCTGACCGTGAGCAGAATTTGTTTAGAGTTAGTCCTGGGTACTACTCCACAGTTGTAAGTAATTAATAAAGGGAATGAGTTTTCAACGAAACTGTTGTGCTGCGTCAGTGGGAGAATATAACAGGGTAATGAAATATTCTCAACTGAGTTGCTAGCATAAATTGGCCACCGTCAAGAGTATCAAAGGTGACGTTTCGAGTTCTAGCCCTTTGTCATTTGCTCTGACGAAGGGGTAGTGCTCGAAACGTCAGCTTTGAAATTCTTAACGGTGGCCAATTTATGCTGTTGGTAGCCATCGTGTTTGCTCCCTTTTACCACTAGATGGAGGATTAAATCATACAACGTTTGATTTTGGTTTTTTTTTTGTAGTTTAGTTGATTGCAGTGCCTGTGATGGCTGGGCCTTTGGTCCAGGAACTTCTTGGCCCTTTAAATTTTTTTCCTTAAAAGGTTGGCCCTCAGAAGTTTGGCGCCTTGGCCAAATACCCACATCATGCTTTATAAATGATAAATCAGCGCAAATATCTGTTTTTGCTATTTTACATATAGCTGTGGGTACACTGGCATTCGATGTAAGAGTTGGAATGTACGATGACCCACCGAACAAAGAAACCGTGAAAATGATTAAGTCGAGCTCAGACGCCTTTTCACTTATGGGAAAACTGAACAAAGGATGGGAAAGTTTTATCCTCAACTTCATGACGACACCCACGTACTTGAAGTTTTGTGAAGCACAAGACACCTCCATAGGCATTGGTCAGCATATAGTGGACCAGAAAATTATGGAACTGAAGAAAGCAGCCGAAGATGGTGAAGCTCTCAGCCAGGATCAGGGTTGGTAAAACTTGTTAGTAAATGCTAATCTGTAGTGACCTGACCGGTGGAGAGTAAGCCTTTGGCGATTTTCCCCGAATGCCATCGACGTGGTTAACCAAAACCACTCTGCATTGGCATAGCGGCCAATTCAGGTGAATTCATTTGCAAGTATTAGTTACCGATATCGTCTTTGTGTTATAGCGGTGCCTCTGCTGACCTACCTCATAATGAAAGGCGAACTTACACCACAGGAGATCAACACACAATCTATTGGGATGTTTAGAGCAGGAGTAGAGACGGTGAGATGATAACATATTAACTAAGGTGGGGCAAAGACCAAATATCACGACCACAATCTTGAAAACGAGCGACAATATAATCAAAGCCTCAGGAGAGGTGTTGCTTTTCTAAAATCATGCTTTGTATTATCACAGAAACTGCATTTTCTTTTAAATTATTCTTCAAAAAAAGCGAAGTGGCCATCTATAAAATCAGTCTATCAGTGTTAAAATCATCTTGCACACGGTGAATATGGCAAAAAAACAGTGACATAATTTTCGAGCAATCAAAGCGCGTGCATCTGCAATTTCACCACATGTAATTTTCGAGGATGAATGAGGGTGGTCTAAAAAGAACAACAAACCAAAAAAATGCAGATTTTTATAATCAGTATACTTTTGGTTAGCTCCCTCACCTTTCAATTACTCAGTTGTCGTTATAGATACATAGATAGATAGATAGATAGTTTTACAGTTTTATAGTTTTATAGTTTTATAGATAGATAGTTTTATTGACTAAAAACATAGCAGCCATAGGCTGAATTACGTCAAGCTTACAATTACAAATATATATATATATATATAAATATAGGGTATATGAATACAACAAGAAAACTATAAAGACCCTATAATATAATATATAATTAAAAATATGAATACAATTAATTAAATATGTAGTTATTAAAAACGTGACTTAGAATAAAACTGTTCTTGCAACGTTCAGTCCTACATCATGGTAGTTTATATAGTCTTTGGTTCCTAAGGCTGTAACTAGATATGTTCACTTCTGGCAAAAGTGAATGTAATTTGTGTTCCTTATTTGTAGAGATCTCGACGAAGAGTCTCGAGGAGATTTTTTCTTCTTCCTATATACTTTCATTAACTCGAATTTGATTCAGGAAATATAATTAGATTCCTTCGGTTGATTTTTAAGATAATTCTGCAGTAGAGAAAACCAATTTTCATGAAAAATCCTGAATAATTTTCCCTTGACTTTTCTCCACAGACGTCCACTGGGCTACAATGGCTCCTTTACGATCTGGCCCGTAATCCAAAGGTGCAGGAGAAGGTGTATGAAGAAGTGACCTCGCTAATTGGGCCCCATGGAGATTTTACGCCCGAGAGTTTTGCCAAGTTGACTTACATTAAGGCTTGTGTCAAGGAGTGTCTGAGGTAGAAAGATGTTTGTGTTCACAAATTTTTTGTAGGAGCACCAGCTTATTGAGAAGTCTGTACACAAATTGTTCTTCATGTTCAGTTTGCATGATCAATGTTGATAGAGGGAAGAGGGGGAAGGGGGTCCAAGCTTTGATTCGGTAAGCGCAGATTTTTTAATATATATGTATTTTTTTCACTCTGGATTAAAAAAAAAACTAGCAAATATTCCAAGGCAAATGCAGTGAAAAACTTAAAGTTGAGTAGTAGTATGTGATCCTATCATTGCAAGAAGTTTGGTGTCGGAGAATCACTGAAAAAAAAATCCTACAAGTCTGAAGGGGAGGAGGTGCCAAGCCCCTCCCTTCCTCCCCCCCACCTCGTCCCAGAACCCCCCTGCTGGATCCGCCACTGAGTTTCTTCCCTATACAACGTGCATTTCTCATCAAGTGTTTTTTTTTTATATATATTTCAATAGAATGCACCCTCCTGCTCCCGACTGGGCACGCCGTCTAAGCCAAGATGTGGTTCTTTCTGGTTACCATGTCCCAACAGGTGTAAGTCAAATCGTTCAATGTTTTTGAACAAGGTTGCACTCTAGTTTTTATTAACAAGTTTTCTGCATCAATTACTTGCCAGTTGAGATGAAAAGGGCATGAAGATATTTTCTTGACAGATCCATTAGTCCAAAGACTGTCAGGCAAGTTTTTGAACAAGCAGATTTATCAAGAGAGAAATCTGGAAACGTAGATGACTTAAATCATATAAAAGTTTTCGTTCCCGCTGTCTACTTTACAACTACAATTGCAAAGAATGTACCTCGATTTTTTAAACGGTGTTCAACAGTATTTGGGAATCTCGCCCCAAGCCCGCGGACATCCTTTCGGCGAAGCTTCCGGCCGAAACTAAGTTTTTAGCTTGCACGTTTTTTGTCTCAGGGCCATTCTTTATCCGAATGAGACTGACGTTAGGCACATGGCTCTTGACAAGTCTGTTGGGAAAAGGGTTTTTTTTCAGAAAACAGTCCAATTCACGGCTATGTTTTAAGAAACTAACTATTTGAACCCATGACCTCTGAAAAACCGGTGCACTGTTCTATCAGCTGAGCTAACAAGCCGACTGGGAGTCGGTCATTAATAAACCCATGTAGTGATGAGTCAATGACTTAGAATATATGAAAATCATATAGGTGAACTGTGGTTTTCCCGTGCAGGCCTCAATGTTTCAGGCCTTATTTCCACTACTGCTTTAGTAGTGTGCATTACCGCGAAGATCGCTTTCATATTTATTTTTGAAGCCGCAATTCACATGTATGATTTTCATATATTCAAAGTCATTAACTTTGCTGTGTTTCCTTTGCTAAATGAGATTTTCCTTGTTTAGGATCTAGATTCCTCAGGGAAGCAGATCCTTGGCCTTTGTTACGCTGCTAACGCAGTCTAATGGAAACTTTGTCTTCTTTCTTTCAGGCAATCGTGGTTTATTCCAACTATCTTTCTGGGCTCTCTGAGGAGTTGTTCAAGTTTCCTTTGGAGTTCAGACCTGAACGTTGGTTAAACGAAGATCTGGGAAAAGTTCACCCTTTTGCCATATTGCCATTCGGAGTTGGACCACGCATGTGTATTGGTGAGAAGTGTAGTAGTTGTGAATGACATGGAGAGTGTGTTGTTTTAAACGAGTCTCCAAAAAATTGAGCATGCATTGAGTTTGCTTTTGCTTTTGTTTTTGCTTCACTTCGGTGAGTGATTGGTCTTACAAATTAACGCCATCAACGTTAAATTAACGCCAGCGTTTTCAACGCTTCGGACCTTTGGTTGTTTTCACTCTGAGTTCTGTTGTCCATTTCTGACAAATCTTGTGTTATAATTTAGTGTTAGTTTGTTGACTTTTTTAAACCCAAACGAAAGCCTAGTAGTCAATTTCATTGCCATGATTGATGTTCGTCCTTCGCTAGCGAAAACGACCATGACCTCCCTTGACCTTTCCCTTGAAACAGTCTGTCACAATGTGGACTTAGGATTGCCGGAAGTGGGCCAGGCTGAGAGGTGGCTTGATAAACCGTACATTAGCAACTCTCATGTAACTCTTAGTGAAGTCTCTACCTTAGAAAACACACACATCAGCCTCTGGCTTGCTCTAAGCCAAGCACTACGCCCACACCGGCTCATAATGGATGCCAATGAGAGCATATTTTCCCGCCAATTCCGGCGTCAAATGCAGGGAAATACAATTCACTTTACCCCTTGATGGAAATCGAAGACGAAACATGGTAGAATTTCACGAGGCCTTACGACCGACTTAATGGCTTTACTAAATGATAAATACTGAACTGCGAAAAATAAAGTGAATTGCAGGGTTGCAACGTAACTTTTTTAAATTGATGATGGTAATGATAATGATACGAAAAGATGAGGGTGCTGATTGGGAATCACCATAGGCATGAAAATAAAACACCAATTGTTACCTTGGTTGATGATGGTTTGAACTGTCGTAATGCAAAAGTGATCTCACCTTACCCCTTACATCATCAGTTTTCAATGCTAAGACTGCCGTAAGGAATTTAATTTAACAAGGCCACTGAAAAAGATAAGCTCAAACCATTTGTATTTTGACTGATATATTTGAATAATCTTTCCTCTAGGGCGTCGTATCGCTGAGGCTGAAATATATCTTTTGGCAACAAAGGTAAGCTTATTAAAAAAATAAGAAGGATAAAGAAAGATGTTTTTTCATCTCTCTTACTCTATTTACAAAAACCACATTGCTGATCCAAGCAGTATACTGGACGCGTGCCATATATGAACCTCGTAATGGGCCTTGCTTACCATAGAGTCTCTGTAGCTCAGTAGTAGAGCGTCGGAGCGCGGAATCCGAGGGTCTGAGGTTCGATTCCTCACAGGGAGTCAGAATTTTGTTCTTTGTCCCACGCTCGTGACAGGACGAAAAAACATCTTTCCCTACAAGGAAAACTTGTTTGATCACTTCAGTTTGCATGCATGATTAGCACGTTGTAGCAATATCAACTAAACCTGCCTGCCTCATTTTTTGGCCTTCCCATGCCTTGCCCATTTTCTGGTTTTACAATCACGTCCAAGCGTTCCTATATTTTTTACCTGAAAACCTTGCAAGTCAAAGATTGAAAGAGGCGCTTGACTTAAATTTAGTTTACGACTATCGGTATAGCCAGGATTTGAATAAGGCAACCCTATTCATTCACCGACTGAATTGCTGCGAAATTCAAAACCTGACACGTTTCCGACTGTTTTTCTTGAATTGATCATGACAACTTTTATAAACAGCTTTGGGTAACGACATTTTGAGTCCAACTCGGTTATCCTCGAAAATTTGGTTTTATCAACCGAGCTGCTAATCTAAATTGCCCATGGTAAAAGAGCTTCTCTAGCTTACATCCCGAGCGTTAGCACTTCGCCCTCGTTAGCCCTTTGCTCTGACGAAGGGCTAACGCTCAAAACGTCATCTTTAAAAACTCTATACGGTGGCCAATTAATATTTGTTACGAGTGTCGATGTAGAGCAGGGTTGTTCTTAGACAAAACTCAGGTTCGTCGGTAACAGCAACAAACTGATTTATTTCCACGTAGTTGACTTATCAACTTTACAGCACTAAGCTTCTTCACAATTCTCTCTCCCTATTTTTTGATGAAACTGTCGCTCTTATATACATAAAGTACAAGGATTTAGAAACTTCTCTAAAGAACTAAATTTAGTAGATTAACACGGTTTTCAAATTTCAATAATTACGTAAGAGATAGAACGTTCCAGAATGTTCTTATACCAGAAGGTCACGTCTGGATGACTTCGGGTTCTAGACTGTTCTATAGAATGTTCTAGGACTTAACTTAGACAATTTTTCGTAACAATATTATCAACCTAGTTGATAGAACCAAATTATCTTGTAACACCCCCCACCGACGCATTACCATGGTTTCTAACCCCCTCCCCCCATTTCCCTCTGTTATCATCGCCCCGACTTCCTATTAATTATTTTGAAGGATCTTATTCAAGCTTATGTGTGATCATTTTCAGCTGGTACAGCGGTTTGTCCTGGAATATCACGATGCGCCAGTCGGTATGAAGTCGAGACTGTTGTGTGTTCCTGACAAACCACTGAAGATCAAATTTATTGACCGTGCGTAACTTGCTTATATGGATGTTCGTTCTTGACGGTGGGAATAAATAAAATAGACATTTTTTATCAAAAGGTATCGGCAGGTTACACTCCATAAGATGTGTTTTACTCAGCGAGAGTCTGTGCAATTTTTTTTTTAAATCAAGCCCTTCGCATTGACGACTTCCAAATTTGAATTACGCAGAAATGAGTACTTGATTGACTAAAAAGAATCAATGGAAATAATATATTTCAAAGCAAAGTGACTATGTGGAAAATAAGAGGTCGTATTAAATTTTTAACTCCGAATATTGCATTTCTAGTGTTTTGATTGGTTCCGAATGTTAGCTCATATTTCGGGCCAAGTCATCTTATAAGAAAATGCATTGCGAAGCGAAAAAAAGGCTCCAAATATCCAAACGTTCAGGATTTACTGAGATTTCATAAAAACAATTATTCTTTTCGCGGATGTTGGATGCGTGATTGGCTATTTATCATCTCTATTGACGATGATTAGGTAGAAGCTGCAGATTGTGGCTCGCAGAAGGCTTTTTACAGCGCAACTGAGAGAGGAAATTCGTGTATGTCTCAAGCTTACGCGAGAACATTGGGTATGACAATATAGTTTGGTGGTAGTACTGAGTGGAGTCCAATTCGATCTGTACCGGTATCGCAGAGGTCATGGGTTCATATCCCGTACGGGCCTGAATTTTTTTCAGGTCCTATTTACAACCACTAGTTTCAGTAGTGTTCTTAGCTGCGAGGATCTCTTAATATCATCGATCTGTAATGTTTCGACCGATTTTTTTAATCACTAGTATTATTACAGACAGAATTGGACGACACGAAGTCCTGTTACCAATTAATCACGACCTTTAAAATTTCCGAAAAAAAAACCAAATATATCTATTACAAATATCTCCAGTGGAGACAATGTCCCAGGTTAACAATTTCTCCATTTTGGAAATTCCCCAGTTTTTCGCAGGATAAGTGGTTGTTGCTATGGTTTTTGTGATGAATTCGGTGATTGGTGGATTTAGCTGAGTGGACTGGGTTGCTTCAATTGTCCGACAACAGCCAACTGTCAGATTACAACTTTATAAAGTTATTTGTGAAAAATAAAGCAGTTACTGCACCAATCACATTTGAGAAAATTGTAATGATTATGATTAGACGGATTATTGAAACCACATGCAATTTTGTTTACAAGTTACAGTCGAACTTGTGTTAAGTGGTCACGGGAAATGTCAAGGTGACCGCTAAATACAAGTGAACCGCTAAATACAGGTTACACAGTAAGGGGGTTTTATGAAAGACAAAAAATCGCAATTTCATGCCTTAATCGACCGCTTAATGTAAAAAAAAAACGCACTTAAAAATGCTTCTAGCCTTTATTTTGGGAGATGAGCGTGGGTTTAATATACTTAAAACTTTGTTCTCAGTTTTATTTGAGTGGTTTGACTTTAAGTGACCGTTCATTACAAGTGGAAAACAATACAAACAGGCCGTTGGGACTCAATAAAAGGTGACCATAACCGCTTAATAGAGGTGAAAATTATATTGATTAAGGGGAAAGAATTTCGTGATTTTGACCGCGTAATACAGGGTGGCCGCTGAAAAGAGGTTCCACAGTAGTTCTCTTACAAGTTTACTATAGTCATAGAATTCATAGTTCGTGTATTTTCTTCAGAAAGGTTGTGACGCTTTTATCCTCGTTCACCATAACCAGCTTGGGAAGATTCACTCTTACACGACTGCTTGTAAGATGATACGACGTCAACCACGCGCCACACTCATGTGCTTATCTTAAGTTCATTTAACTGTTATCACTCGTGTCTGGACTATGAGGCATATCTCATTTCACTTTTGAGGTCAGTAGTGTATGTCAATATCAGCCCTTGAACACTTAAGCGATAAACTTCCTACACTTTGCGAGTTTTGGTTGTTGAGGTTCAGCAACTCGTCACGTCACGCAATTTTTGACAACACGACCTAAAATAAACCGACTAGTCCTTTCGTGTCACTTGCTTATCAGTACCTAGAGTCTGCAATCTCGCGATATTTTTTTATTACCATGGACGACACCCTTTACTTTATGACTACAGCTTTGCTGATTTTAGTTGTGATTTTGATTGTGAATCCCTTCGGCAAGCTCCACAATTTACTGAGGCAGCTATTGAAAGACCCAAAGGAAAATCTTTCCGACGGAGTCCGATCCTTTAAGGATCTCCCAGGTCCGAAAGGATTGCCTTATTTTGGTGATATTCTGAACTACATTAAAACGAGCTCCGACTTCAATCGTCTTTTGAAGAATCACCTGGAAAACTTTGACAAGTACGGCCCGATTTACAAGAGGACTGTCATGGGACGAACCGAGATCTTCATCAAAAACCCAACCGATGTCGAAGCTGTGTTCAGAGGCGACGGGAAAAATCCGATGCGACCTGAGATGATTTTCAGGGCTCAAAGGGAATACATGAGCAGCAAGAACCTTCCAGAAGGTTTGGCTTCCCTGTAAGTGAATAGAATGACTGCATTACACTTAGAATAGAATTGTTCATTTTTGTCTGGGATTTCTCTACACTTTTTCAGGGACTGCCATATTTATTTATTTATTTGTGTACAAATAATGTACACAGAGCAATGAGTCTGTCACGTGGTCTCTGGTTCCGCAAGGAAGAGAGAGGACCCTGGGTATGAGGTTGGGTGTTTTTTCGCGGCGGCCATTACTCTTCTCGGCTAATGTTTATTTGGCGAATTTCGACTTGTTTTCGCGGTGTGATTAATCCACAAGTTGAGGAGAAGTCGATTGAATTTTGCGACGTTTTCCATTTTTCTATTAAGTGGATTGTGCCAGCTTTATTGCAAGGAGTCATTGTACTCTGATATAAAAGCCTTCTTGACTTGATTTGTGCGGGTTGCACGACGGAGTCTCAAATTGCTCAGACTGTCTCACAAGTGTCACACAAGTGTCTCAAACTGAAAGAAACTGTTACTTGCACTGTATCAGCTGATCGGTCAATGATCGGCTCTCGTGACAATTGCGTGAAAACCAAAGACGTCATTTCGCGTTTTAAAGATCGTTTTTGGAATGTAATGCTCGTGATGTTTTATTTAAATTTGTTTTGTTTGCCGACATTGAAGCAAGTTGGTAGACACTACAAGATGTCGAATCAAGTGATGTTTTGGTTTACACAAATGATGCGCTTCAATGTTTAAATTCCATTGCTTATAAGACAGGCAAATAATGTGGAGAAAAATCCAGGCCCTACGACATTTGATATCATTGACCCAGTAAGTACAGTGTCTGCTGACTACAGTCAAGGAAATGAAGCACTCTTTGGTGAACATGCTGGTAAGCAATATGTAGCAGTGTCACTTACTGCCATTATTTACCATCAAATAGAACATATCAGTAAATGGACTTCAAAACTCACTGATAAAAGTATTTCAAGTTCTAGACTAAACTTTAATTGTTGTTTTTTAACTGTTGGCATCAATGCAGTTGCAGTGTTCAAACATTCTGAACAAAGCTTTAAAAATTTTACTCTTATGCAAAGGATTTTTATGGTATGTCACGTTCATTCGGGAATGACTCTGCTTGAAATCCTTGTATCATATTTGCAAATGTCTTGCTTAGAAACAGGGGTTGTTCCTTTGGAAATTAAAGGTGTCTTTATAACTGACTGTCAACCTGAACTGGAAAATGTTCACAGTAACCAAGAGAATGAACAGTTCTCTTTGAGTGTTAAAATAACCCAGAACAACTCGTTAACAGAAAAGTGTTCAGATGAAACAGCAGAAATGAAGAAAAAGTTGATTGGGCAACTTGAATATGAGAAAAAAAAGAAGGGCAAATGAAAGTGAGGAATCTAGGCAAAAGAGGCTGGCACAAAAGCGTGAGAACAGGAGAAAGAAACAAGAATCGAGACAAAAAAGGCTCGCAAGTCAATCTAAGTATCAAAAAGAAAAAAAAATGCTAATTAATCTGTTAAATGCAGGCAAAAGAGATTGACAAAGCAGTCTCAGTATCAGAAAGAAAAAACTGCAAATGAATCTGTTGGATGTAGAGAAAAGAGACTGGCAAACCAACGTCAGTATCAGAAAGAAAAAACTACAAATGAATCTGTTGAATGTAGGGAAAAGAGACTGCTATCAAAACAAGAATATCGCAAAAGTATTTTCACCAATTTAACCAGTACTTATGAAATCTGAAAATTCCATGCTGCTGTTTCTAGGGGTCCACTGCACATTTGTTCTTGTTGTGACCAGTTGTGGTATAGACACAGTATTCTTGCTGCTGAAAAGCTAAGACTTTTCAACCTTGATGCAGAAAAATGTTTATTGATATTGAATGGATCTGTCAGTCTTGTGACAAACATCTGAAGAAAAGCAATACCACCCTGGGCAGCTAGGAATGGTATGTCTTTTCTAGTGAAACCAGACTATTTTGATATAAATGAGTTGGAATGCAGACTTCTAGCACCTAGATTAGCTTTTCAAAAGCTTATGCAAGCCCCAAGAGGAAATCAGTTGAAAATAAAAGAATTTTTGTCAATGTACTAGCAGATGTTAACAATACTGTTAACATTTAACCATGGTTACCTCAAGAGATTGGAACAATAAAAGTTCAACTAAAAAGGCAATTGCAATATAAAAGTTCAGAACTGTCTTAAAATGTAAGATCATATCAAAATTTACAAGCAGCAAACTGGCTGGCTGATAACAGTAACCTTTATAAAGAACAAGGAATATCCTTCAGTGAAGACAGGGTGGCAAGCTGTGATATAAACTTGCGAAATGTAACTGAGAGTGAAGATAATTCTCAAGCTACCTGTAATGAACATATAAGTTATACATGTAATGCTGAAAAGACTGCAGACGAAGAAACAAGTTAAGTTTATGATGATTGGACTGAAGAGGATGCAGAAATACCTGCAGGAGTAACTGATACTTTGTTAACTGCAACTGACTTTCTTGATGACAATGAACGGCAACAAATTCACAACATTGCATGTGGGGAAGGTAGTGTACCTCTGAGTATATTTAGAGACAAATATTCTGAAGATATAGCCTATCCAGGAGTGTTTTTAGGTCAAAGGCGGCCCAAAAATAAAGAGAGAGTAGTTGATGTTCATTACAGTGATGTTTGCAAATCAGAATTAAGAAGATCAGATCGACGAGCAGCGATGTCTGTGGAGAATATCCTTTTTAAAACTAAAAAATTACAAATAAAGATTCTGCTAGGAAAATCTCAAATAGCACTACGAAAATGTAAAGGGAACAATAGATGTCTTACAGATGGTCAGTTAAAGCAAAAATGTACACTAGAAAGATTAGTTCATTTTAATTAAGGCTAGAAACTTTAAAGAGCACTTCGTGGCTCACCTCCTTATTTTGAGAAGGCCAAAAAAAGACATCTTTGCGATGATCAGAAATCTAGGACCTACTACTTTATTTTGTAGTTTTCTTAAGGCCTATTTACACGGCACGACTTTGTCGCATGCGACAAGCTTACGACAGGCCTACGACATGACTTAAGAGTCGTAAGCGAGTTGTAGGTTTGATTTACACGAAACAATTCGTGTCGCAAGCCTGTCGTAAGCTTGTCGCATGCGACAAAGTCGTACCGTGTAAATAGGCCCTTAGAATACTTGGCAAGCTTGTTGACGATAAAGAATATTCAGATAACGAACTAGGAAAAATGAACTGGGAAGAAAAGTGCACGTTAATTCAGAGTGATCCAGTAACTTTGCACGGTATTTTGTCCATCAATTCAATCAGTTTTTAAAGCATTTTTTAATGAGCAATGCTGCTCCCTTAGGGAAAATAACAGACTGGTTTTACAGAGTCGAACATTAACAGAGGGGCTCTCCTCATATCCACGTGTGAATTTGGCTTGAAGATGCGCCAGTGTTTCGATGTGATGACGGCCATGATGTGACATCATTTATCGATAAAATAATAACTTGTAAAAAATCAAAAAATGATCTAGGATTAGAGCTTCTTGTCAGTAGACAGATTCATAGGCACTGCCAAACTTGTCGTAAGAAGTCAAAGGCAGGATGCAGGTTTAATTTTCCACAACCACCTATGACGTCAGCAACCATTTTGTATCCTCTTGGTGATGATTTATCTGAAACTGAGGTCAGAAAACAAAGATACTTGGAAAAATAGTATGGCATGAAAGAAGGTGAAGACGTCACTTTTGACAATTGCTGATTAATCTAAACATCACTAAATGAAACTACCATCTTGGTATTCAATCAAGTCTCACTTCTCCTACGATATTTTAAAAAAGAAAACCAAATGAACTAAGAATAAACAAATATAATAGTCCCTGTCTGAGTGCCTGGAGGGCAAATATGGATATCCAGTTTAGGTGTGATGTTTATGTTTGTGCTGTGTAAATTGTGTCATATATTTCAAAAGCACAAAAAGGAATGAGTCAGCTTTTACAA